GAGCTGTAATTTAGGAGTTGGCTTTATTTATCTGAGGGATGTTTGTATATTTTGTAAATTACTAACAATGCTCTGCCATCCTGGTGACTGTCCTGGTTCTGTACAAATGCACTTATTCTGTCCCTCTATTGCATGTCTGAGTAGTTCAGAAGTTTTGTATATTTATTGTATTAACACAGTGTCATAGAATAAACAAAAAAGACTTTTTTCCTGGACATTTGCTCTGTATAGTTTTGAACAATATAGGGACTTTTTTTAAAGGTCAGGATTATGTGTAGGAGGGCTGATCTATGTAAATGTCTCATTTGTTTTTTTATAATCCTGTATATAAATTCTGTAATGCTGCTGAAATAAGCAAGTAAAATGTCCACTATTGAAATCATCCACGAGGGCAGTGCCAATTGGTCTACCCTGATATGAGCACGATGGCGCAAGGGCCCCGCTGCCGCTTGCGGCGCTGTGCAGGGGCAGGGCCGCCCTCGCCGCGGGCGCTGTCACTGCTGCCGTCCTGCAGGCACGAAGGGATGCCGCACCGCAGGCGTTATTCAGAGTAAAACTGCTGACAACAGCACTGGTGTGGTAGTTTATTTTCCTCATTTCTGCATATTGAATTGACACTTCTGTATCGCCACTGAGTCCTATGGTTTCTGTTTAGGTATGATCAATGCCTTTTTTTTTTTTTTTTTCCTTCCCATATAATATCAACTGTAACACCTGCTGTTTAGTCCCTGTTTCCTTTGAAGGATGCAGTGGGTGACTTAACAGTTTCATAGCCCTCCTGCTCTTGCTGTCAGTTAGGGTTACAACACAGTTTGGGTGCTGTTCCGTGGCGCTCGGGGAGTCACTTACCTTGAAAAGCTGCAAACACCCAACTGAGAAAGCAAATGACACCCAGGCAAAGTACAAAGTAGTTTAAAATATTCAGTGATACTGCTAGACAGATGCTTTGGCCCAGTGAAACAAGACACTTGGCTATTACTGATTCCTAATGATGTGCTAGAGTACAGTGGATCAGATAAACTTGTTTGAGTTATAGAAATAGCTTGTAATTTTTCTGCAAACCAATTTTGTGTCTGCAAGTAGCTTTTATTTCGATTTATAGAAAAAAAGCACAAGAAATTTTTGTTTGAAAAATGTTATAGTCTTCATCAGAAAGCAGCTTCAGTGCTGCATTTAAAAATGAAAAGTATTTAAGTCAGAACTACATAAAAGAAGAAAGTCTTTTCTAAAACCACTGCATTGTGGAATGCATAGCTACACTTTTCAGGTACCACAATTTTATCAGTAAGTGGCAATAATTGTTCCACTGAGTTGCAAAGTTAAAAGCCTAGCAGAAATCACAGGGTTCCCAAATGCTGGAATGTAGACACCTCGTCCAGGCTCAGCATTCCCAAGATGTATGAATTAAGGGAGTCACACTTTGTTTAAAGCTTAAAAACTCACATTTTAATTGATTTATTTTATTAAAAATCATTAGGTACACCATTCATGCTAACACTTGTACATAGTGGTGACTCAAGAACACAACAGCAGTACCACAAATAAACCATGGCTCAAGCTCCAGGCCAGGCGGACGGCCCCCCGGCGTCGCCCCTCGCGCCGGCCACCCCACGGCGGCAGCGCCCGCCTCTTCAAGGGACATGTGAGAAGGTTCCCTTTACATGAGGAAGGCGCGTGGTTGGGTGTGGGAAAGCAATGCAAAATTGAAATGGGTTAGCCAAAAAACCACCCAAGCCCAAAAATGTTGTTTTTACTGAGTAAGACAGATGTTAAGAGACTAACCAGAAGTAGCTCAATTGTTGCCATGTTTTTTTTTTGCTTTGTCACAGTACTGTAAAGCACCCTCAGAAATGCTGCTGAGCCTTTTCAGCTTTTGCTGTGAGAATTGCTGAGGAGGGCCACAGCTTCACCTCTGAATCTCTGCATTGCATGGCCAGGAGGATCCCAGTTAGGCCAAAGGAGATAGATTGGTCGCTAATGCTTTAAGCTACTCTCATTGCTGTTGCCTAAACCTTCTGAAGTAGTGGGTCTGTTCATTATTCTGTGCTTAATTTGTCCACATCACCAGAATTTCAGCCACGCCTTTCCCTGGGAAGTCTCTTTTCAAATATCTTGTTTAAAACCAAAAAAACTACAAAAAAATTCCTGTTATTGCACATCTCACACAAGTTTGTGTATATATATTTTATATATATATATATATATTTAAATATGCTACACTTCAAAAAAAAAAGTCTATGGCACTTTACAGAATGCAGGTTTACAGAGGAGATCAAACCACAGATGTTTGAAGACTTCTTCAATACCACAATTAGGAAAAAAAAAGTTAAAACTGAGCTAATTGGCACACAGGTTTTCAAGAATCCACAGCAAATGTTTCTAGCTCTTATGCAGTGCATGTACATTAAGAAGCAGTTATATTCCACAGCCCCATTGTGACATTAATTAACAAGGCTGATTTCCTTTTATTTCTGCAAAAGCTCTTTGAAAGCTACTGCTGAAGTGAATTTCGGGAATAACTTTGAACAGATACCAGATTAATTGAGTGCACCATACACCTGAAAAACCTCATCCAGAAAAATCTGCAGAGTATATATGTAATATATATACACAGCATCTTATCACTTGCCAGAAGAAAAGAACCCTGAGAAAAGAAATTCTGACTGGTTTCTGCCTTTCTTCCCAGCTCCTCTTCCAGGTGGGCTTGTGCTGAGCAGGGCTGTTCACACAGGTGGGTTGGTTATGCTCTTTCTGAGCAAGTTGACAGTAACAAGAAGAAAAGGTGGTTCTTGGTAACAAATGCAAACAAAAGCAAAATATTCCACTGAAAATATTTCCCTTTGTACTTAACAACTCCAATATTAAAAACTGTAAGGTTTCAGGAGATCATAGCAGTGTATCTATTGCGGTGTGTATCTATATCTATGTTTACAAGTTGCTCCTAGTTTGCTTTAAGCCCCAGCAGCGTGTGCCCTCTCTAGTTATCTTGTTCCCACTCACCAAGTGGGGAAGGCAAAGCAGCATTTGTCACGCAAAGGCCGGGCCAGGCTTCCCGAGCAGTGGCAATGTTGCACTGCTGGGTTGCTGCCTGCCAGGCCAAAACAGCAGCTCTGCACCCAGT